CGCACCACAAACCCACCCCACCCCACCCCAAACCCCAAACCCACCCCAAACCCACCCCAAACCCACCCTAAACCCACCCCAAACCCACCCAAACCCACCCCAAACCCACCCAACCCACCCCAAACCCACCCCAAACCCCCCCCCCACCCCAAACCCACCCCAAACCCCCCCCAACCCACCCCAAACCCACCCAAACCCACCTCAAACCCCACAAACCCACCCAAACCCACCCCAAACCTACCCCACCCAAACCCACCCCAAACCCACCCCAAACCCACCCCAAATCCACCACAAACCCACCACAAACCCACCCAAACCCACCCCAAACCCACCACAAACCCACCCAAACCCACCCCAAACCCACCACAAACCCACCCAAACCCACCCCAAACCCACCACAAACCCACCCAAACCCACCCAAAACCCACCCAAACCCACCCCAAACCCCCCCCAAACCCCCCCAAACCCACCACAACCCACCCCAAACCCACCCCCCCAAACCCACCCCAAACCCACCACAAACCCACCAAACCCACCCAAACCGACCCCAACCCACCCAAACCCACCCCAAACCCACCCCAAACCCACCCCAAACCCACCCAAACCCACCCCAAACCCACCCAAACCCACCCAAACCCACCCAAACCCACCCAAACCCACCCAAACCCACCCAAACCCACCCAAACCCACCCAAACCCACCCAAACCCACCCAAACCCACCCAAACCCACCCCAACCCACCCCAAAACCCACCACAACCCACCCAAACCCACCCAAACCCACCCAAACCCACCCAAACCCACCCAAACCCACCCAAACCCACCCAAACCCACCAAACCCACCCAAACCCACCCAAACCCACCCAAACCCACCCCAAACTCACCCCTGATGGAGGTGGCCTGCTGGAGGTGGTCTGGTGGATAGAGATTAGCCCGGAGATGCGCGCACACGCGACCTGCATCTCAAACACGCGGCAGCCACTAACAGCCGCTGCAGTGGCAGCTGCACTTTTCATTCCAGCGAGCCAATTTATTTGCTGGGCGTGTGAGCGCGCGTAGGTGTGTGCCTCTGTGTGTGTGTGTAGGTAGGCGTGTGCGTGTGTAGGTGTTTTGTGTGGGGAGCGGTGGCGTTGTGGTTAGCGCGCGCTGGGCTACGAACATCAATGACCCGAGGTCGATTTCACACTCACGGCCAATACCGGTGACGAATGTATGAACTGGTCCTGGGCCTCCCCTAGGTAGACTCAGCCTCAAATGAGTACCTGGTGCGGTGCGTAAATATTTCCACTTGGGAGGCAAAGGCGGCCGGGCGTGGTGTTGGCCACCCAACACCTCGTGTGTCGTGCCGGCCTTCATCGGTGCTACTCGCAAACAGCACTTACCCCAAGAGTCTGTTAAGGGCTATACGGGGGGGCTTTATCTTTGTGGAGTGGGTGGGGAGCGGTGGCGCAGTGGTTAGCGCGCTGTGCCACGACACTGGCAACCCGAGTTCGATTCCCCGCTCACGGCCACTACCGGTGACGAATATCTGAACTGGTCCTGGGCCTCCCCTAGGTCGACTCAGCCTCAAATGAGTACCTGGTGCGGTGTGCAGACACCGCCACTCGGGAGACAAACGTCGCATGTGGCTCGTAGCCACAGCCCACGGGCGTGTGGAATACAGATAAAATAATTTAAATAAAATAATTTAGATAAAATAATTTTCATAAAATAATTTTAATAAAATAATTGAAATTAAATCATTCAAATAAAATAATTTAGATAAAAATAATTTTAATAAAATTATTTGCCGGCTGAAATTCAACCTTGCATATGAAACCGAGTTTTCCACTATATTAATACACGAACAAGCACTAAGTTAAATGTTGACTTAAAGCTTTCGTGGCTGCAGGAATTCATATTCTTTGGGTCTTCCGGTAAAGTCACGTAGATAGGTTCAAAGTAAATCATAATAAAAAAAAACTACTGTAGTTTTTCGTTATTTTTTTTGTTATCTTCTTTGAACCTATCCACGTCACTTTACCAAAACACCCAAAGAATAAGCGACTAAGTTAATAACAATGTATATTTTTTTTTGGTAACTAAAAAGGGTTAAAGGCGCAGCCCTGCAATTGCTCGCTCACGTCACTGCCGGCAGAGTGGCCTCCACTCGAGGGACTTTGAGGTCGGCTCGACTCGAACGCGTTTCGCCCGAATCCTCAAAGCTGACCAGGCAATTTGAAAGCGATGGGGGTTGTTGGGGTGGGTGGGTGGGGGGGTTACCCACACTTTGCCCCACAGCACCCGACCATGCCGATCGAGTTACATCTGTGGTTGCATCCATTCACAGCACAGTCCACTGATGCTGGGTGGACAGACGTGGTGGGTGGGTGGGTGGGGAGGGGCAGGAAATGTAACAAGCGACTCGCTCACCATTATTTTCAACTGCCGCGCCGGGAGATACGGAGCCGAGCCAACACGTGAGTCGCACCACGGGGAGAGAGACACGAAAACTCCAAATATACAGCAGTAGGCGTCAGGGTCAGGAACGAACCCACAATCTCCTGCATACCGGTAGATCGTTAACATTCCTTAGCCATCGTGATGATGATGATGAGAGAAACGCAGACTCCAAATATGCGGAAGGTGTCAGGGTCCAGGGATCGAACCCGCGACCTCCTGCATACCAGGCGAGGTAGTTAACATCTCCTAGCCACCGTGATGGTGAGACACGCAAACTCCAAATATACAGCAGGCGTCAGGGTCGGGATCGAACCCACAATCTCATGTACACCAGGCGAGATAATTAACATCTCCTAGCCACCGTGATGATGATGAGAGAGAGAGAGACGCAAACCCCAAATATACAACAGCAGGCGTCAGGGTCGGGATCTAACCCACAATCTCCTGTACACCAGGCGAGGTAGTTAACATCTCCTAACCACCGTGATGATGATGAGAGAGAGACATGCAAACTCCAAATATACAGCAGCAGGCGTCAGGGTCGGGATCGAACCCACAATCTCCTGTACACCAGGCGAGGTAGTTAACATCTCCTAGCCACCGTGATTATG